CAGAAAGGGCCCCTCGTCCACGGGGCCGCGCCACGGAGTGATGCTTTCTGGAAAGGTCAAGCACGGGTCGGTCTTTGGTGCTCGGCACCGAGTGGCCTGGCCCTGCCCTCTGTATACGTGTGGGGACGTATGTGGGCATGTGGGGGGCCTCCAGAGCTGAGGTGCATGTGACAGGCTCACAAGAGTGCCCGCACCTGCAGGGCCGTCCTCAGCGTGCTGGCCCGGGGAAGCCGCCCAGCCACCTCTGCGTTTCAGGACTTAAAAGGAACTCCAGGGCCAGCTCATGGGGTCTGAATGAGAGTCAGCTCTCTCTGCAGATTCCTTTGTTGGGGAGGGGAGTTGTCCACATCTAAGTCTTTTGAGGGTGAATTTAAGTTTTGAAAGAAACATCCCTCAAAACTAAGTCCACGGAAAGAACTCTTACCATTTGCAACAGCCTGGAGAGACCTGGAGAGCATGATGCTAAGCAAAGTAAGCCCGTCAGAGGAAGGCAAAGCATCACATGACCTCACTCACGTGTGGAATCTAATGGACAAAATGAACTAATGAGTAAAATATATCCGGAGACACAGAAGCATAGAACAGACTGAGGCATCTCAGAAGAAAGGTGTGGGAAGGTGGGTAGGCGGGAAGAGGACTTGCATGCATTTGTGTATAGCCCACAGACACTGACAATAGGGTGGTGATGGCCTGGGGAGGGCCTAGAAGGGGTCCATGAGGGGAAAGGGGGACACGTCATCATTTCAACAATAAAGATCTTTTAAAAGTCTACTCAAAAAGGTAAATGGTCGGGATGGACAAATTCAAAAGAAGGCAGGGCCACGAAAGGACAGCACGGTCTGCTCCAATGACCCACGGTGGCTCTGAGAGGCGATTGGTTCCAGAAGCACCTGGAGAACAGATGCTCTCCCACTGCTGGTGCGGCCTCGGCCTCACTGAGGGCGGAGAGGCCAGATCTTAAAAAAATGTGTGTGCTCTTGCCCTAACCAGTTTGGCTCAGTGGATAGAGCATTGGCCTTCGGACTCAAGGGTCACAGGTTCGATTCCGGCCAAGGGCATGTACCTTGGTTTCGGGCACATCCCCAGTAGAAGGTGTGCAAGAGGCAGCTGATCGATGTTTCTCTCTCATCAATGTTTCTCTCTATCCCTCTCCCTTCCTCTCTGTAAAAAAAAAAAAAAAAAAAAAAAAAATCAATAAAATATATTTTAAAAAATAAAAATGTTAATGCTATTGGCGAAGAACATCAGTTTCTAGGAGTTTGTCGTAAGGAAATCAGAGACGGCATGTGGAGTTTGGCGTTAGGAAGGTTGGTGTCATGCTAATAGCTGCTTAAAACATGGGAGGGGCTTGAAGGGCCAACGGCAGGGAACAGATGTTTGTGTCCTCGGAAAAAGGGCAGGTTACCCAGCGGGCTCAGGTGCCATCCGGCCTTATATGTCCCTGTGGAGAGGGGGTGGGCATGGGGCGGGGATGGGAAGGCAGACACCACGCTGCGCATGGCGGGTGGGATTGTGACTATTTGCACTTTTTTATTTTGCTTGTTTTACAAATATTATTTTTTTTTTTTTCTGCAACGAAAAACTCTTTTTTACAGTAATGGGCTAAAATGAAACATCAGAGAGGGGAAAGGCCCTGCTAGCCTTAAGGAGGAGGTATGATGTGGTGCCTGAATTCGTTCATTAGAGTCTCCGTCCCAAAGTACATGGCTTCATCAACAGACGCTCATTGTCTCACCGTGCAGAGGCCAAAAGTCCAAGGTCATTGTGCCGCAGGGCTGGTTCCTTCCGAGACCGAGACCGAGAGAGTGGGAATCTCTTTCCTGCCTCCCTCCAGCTTCCGGCAGTTTGTGAGCTATCCTTGGCGTTCCTTGGTTTCTGCTACATCACTCCGGCCCCTGCCTTCCTGTCACATAGTGTTCTCGCTGTGTGTGCGTCTGTGTCCACACTCCCTGTTTATAGGGGCATTGGTCATATGAGATCGGGGCCCACCCCGCCCCAGGGTGACTTCATCTTAATTAGTTACATCTGCCGTGACCTATTTCCAGAAAGCACCTCGTTCTGAGGTGCTAGGGGTCAGGGCTTCATCATATAATATACATTTGGGGGCGAACACACATCAACCAATACCAGTGCCCTGATGAGATAGATAGGCACCCTGCTCCTACCCAGCCGAGGTCAGTGCCTACCCACCACCATAGCATGTGCCAGATGCTGTGCAGTGAGAGCTTGGACCAAGGTCAGGAGTAGTGGGGTGGGGCGCAGACATCCCCGAGAACTCCAGGTTCAAAGAGATAGATAATGGTGAAAATGGGGGGGAGGGGGCCTGAGCCCAGCCCCATGCTTCCCAGCGTGACCAGCAGAGCTGCGGACCTACCTGGGCAGTCAGCTCAGCACCTCTGAGCTGGGGAGACCAGGACAGAGACCTGAAAGGAAGACTAGTCTAACCCAGTGGTGGGCAAACTCATTAGTCAACAGAGCCAAATATCAACAGTACAATGATTGAAATTTCTTTTGAGAGCCAAATTTTTAAAACTTAAACTTCTTCTAAAGCCACTTCTTCAAAACAGATTCGCCCAGGCCTTTGTATTTTGTGGAAGAGCCACACTCGTGAGCCACAGTTTGCCGACCACGGGTCTAACCTAAAAGAAAAGCACCTTTGGGTTGGATATAGAGTTGTGATTTAAAAATAGAAGGACTGCCCTAACCGATTTGGCTCAGTGGATAGAGTGTCAGCCTGCAGACTGACAGGTCCTAGGTTCAATTCCGATCAAGGGCATGTACCTTGGTTGTGGGCACATCCGCTGGGGGGTGTGTGTGTGTGTGTGTGTGTGCAGGAGGCAGCTGATCAATGTTTCTCTCTCATCGATGTTTCTCACTCTCTATCCCTCTCCCTTACTCTCTGTAAAAAAATCAATAATATATATATTTTTTAAAATAGAAAGACCAAGAGAGGAGGGAGACAAAAAGATTACGTACATTCCACAAAAATCTACACACAGATATTTTATAGCAGCTTCATCCATAACACCCAAAACTTGGAAGCAACCGAGATGTCTCTCGGTGGATGAATGGATAAGCTGTGGTACATCCACACAATGAAATATTACTCAGTGGTTAAACAGAGATGAGGTATCTAGTCACCAGAAGACATGGAAGAACCTAAAATGCATGTAACTCAGGGAAAGAAGCTCATTTGAAATGGTGTGCTGCATGATCCCAACTGTACGGCATTCTCGAAAAGGCAGTTATGGAGACTGTCACAAAATCTGTGGTTGCCATGGATCTGGGGGGGATAAGGAAAAGGGGTGAACAGGTGGCATGTAGGAAGCTGTTAAGGTGGTGAAACCATTCTGCATGGCACTGTAATGGTGGCCACATGACATTATGCGTCTGTCAAAACCCATAGAATGGCCCAAACGGTGCGGCTTGGTGGTTGACCGTTGACCTATGAACCAGGAGGTCATGGTTTGATTCCCAGTCAGAGCACATGCCTGGGTTGTGAGGCTCAATCCCCAGTAGGAGGCATGCAGGAGGCAGCTAGTCAATGAGTCTCTCTCATCGTTGATGCTTCTATCTCTCTATCCTTCTCCCTTCCTCTCTGAAATCAATACTATATATATATAAACCACACACACACACAGAATATGCAGCACAAAGAGAGAACCCTAATGTCAACTGTGGGCTTCAGTTAATGATGATGTATCAGTATTGTGTCATCACTTGTAACAGCTGACTTGTGCCAATGCAGGCTGCGAATAATAGGTGACATGGTGTTAGGGTGGGGGAGGGGTGTCCGGGAACTCTGTACCCCCTCCTCCATTTTTCTGCAAACCTAAAACTGCTCTCAAAAAATAGTCTATTAACTTAAAAACCAAAAGGGTGTATATATATATATATATATATATATATATATATATATATATATATATATATATATATATATATATTACGCATAAAGAAACGTCAAAGGGATCATGCACTTGTCAGCTACCCAAAAGGGGTCCCTGGCAGACAAAAGCCTGGGCAATTGCAAGAGTTAGCTCTTTCCCTGAGGCAGTTGAGAAGACACAGAGGACCAAAGTGTGACCCAGCAGGATGCCGGAGAGCCAAGCACCCCTGGCTGCTCACACCTCTCTCAGACTCAACAAAGCCCCTTCTGGTGGGGCTTACAGGGCGGGTGGGGGGGGGGGGGCGGAGGAGGGGAAGAAGAACCAAATTCTCATTCCACGAAATAACAGTTTGGAACATGCACAAGAGTGTCAGCGAGTTATGTAGATCTTATCAGCATCGCATTTTTGGTGCCTCCCAGCCATCCAGCGGGGCTCCGCCAGCCTGTCAGCACCCGTCAGCGGCCCACGCAGTGCGGGCCTATCGGCACCTTGGGAGGCCGTGCCACGCCGGGGCCTGCCTCCCGGGGCCCCAGGAAGGGGGGTGGGGGTTCAGGATATACCAGTACACCATGCCCTTGGTGTGCTGGAGCGTCCTCCTCTCTCGGCTCCCATTCTGTGACTTGGTGAGGGCCCCACGGTCTGTCAAATGGAGCAGCATCCTGAATGCTAATTTTGGAAAGAGGATTTGGGTTTGGGAAAGTCAGATGTTCTCACCTCTGAAGGCAGAGAATGTGTAGTTTCAGGAAAGCGAGGAGAAATTATACAGAGTCACCATCCACGTATGTTACGCTTACACAGGGGTGTTTCCACATTTGCAGATAAAACATTGTGATTTTACAAAACTATGGACCAGGGATGAGGCGTAAGGCGTGCTGAGGTTGCCCTCTCTACCTCCCCCAACCCCACGTTAGAAATACAGCTCTCACGGTAGACACGTTACCGCCGTGCCAATGTAATATTGCTAAGCGACGCAGCAAACCATTTGTTTAGGCGAATGCAAGTGCCAGCCTTCACTCTTTAGGTCAGCTTCCTTTTACAACTGCCTGTTTGTGACCATAAAGCCAGTGAATGGGTCTCCTTGTTAGTCTGTGTGTGTGTTTTCATTTCCAGGCTGCTTTAAGTGCCTTGAAACAATTTTCTGAGCAAGGACTGGATCCAATGGAAGGGACAATGAATATTGACAAAAGCTCTCTTGAAAAGTGAGTAAACCTTCTGTCGTATTCTCACATTTATAATTTTGTCGCTGCACAAAAAAAAAAAAAAGAAAGAAACAAAACGCAGATCACGATGAGGCGAAAAACTCAAGACACGGATACCCGTCTCTCACAAAATTATTAGTAATTCGGTTAAATGTGAATAAACGGGAAACCGCACATAGGGTCATATTCATCTCCTGCAGTCTGTCTGAACCTGCTAACAGGTTATTATGTCTGCATGTTAGTGCCTCCGTTGGAAATCTGCATGTGTCTTGTTGACCATAGAGACTGAGAAAATGAACCAAAAAATTGTGTTCACTTCACTCTGTTGGGCATTTTCTGGCTGAACCACTTTCTGAGTGAAAATGTTTGACTCCCATTCCTGCCCGGGTGGGGGCACCACAGAGAGGAAAGGAAAAGCAGCTGAGAGGGGACCCTCCCCTCCGCGGCATTTCCCTTTCGAGTTGTAGGAAACACAAGCACATGTTGCCACCAAAGTGTGGCTCCCCAGGGCTTTCTGAGCCAGAAATGCAGTGACAGTGAGTTTTTCTGAAATCCAGCTCAGGGCTTTTTTTTTTTTTTCATGCAATGGAACTTAAGCTCTTGTCTGAGACTGGATTTCAGGTCTCTCCAGAGACCCAATTTATAGTAGAGAAATTGAACGCAATTATATTTACATAGCGGAATGCAAAGTCTCTGAGAGCAGTCATCACAGCAGGTGAGCCTTCAGAACACACGCAGGAGATAACGTTTCTAGGATGAGAAGAAAACAAACAAACAAAAAAAAAAATAGATAACCCAGGACATCAAAACCAGACACGCTGATCCCGCAGCTAAGGAATCACCCCTCCCGAAACCAGCCTTTGCTCATTCATATTGAGAAGGTGAGAGCGTGAGAAGAAAACATTTGGTACCCAGACGTGGCATTTCAAGTTGTCCATAGATTGGCAACCATTTATAAGCCTAATTTAATCAAAACCGTTTCCACATGATCTCACCGGGAGACTATCTGAACATAAATATTGTTGTTTCACTTTAAAATGTCACTTTGGGGGTGACCTTTGCATCCCGGGTGCCATCTGCTAATAAACATGTCTGAAGTTGTGCAACCCTGCTCCATCCAGCTCTTGTTCATGTATTAATCTTCCAGACAAGGCCAGCATCTGGGAGAGAAGGCGGACAGTAACCAGACACACCCAGGCCCCATCGCTCAGGACTGCAAGAAATCAAAGTCCGTCATCTAGCAGCTCCCCGGACCACGGCAGCCACCGCATCCTTATAAACCTGTCAGCACGCATGAGGGTGTCTGTGTTCGAGGAAATGAATGACGAATGCCCGTCGTTGGGTCTTATGTGAAGACAACGCTGTTCTAGCCACGAGATAATATACGTAGTCCTGTTCATTCACCCTGGTGGGGGAGGGGGGAGGGGGATAAAACTCTGCGCATTTCCCTTGGAACCTGAGATCAGATCATAACTCCTGTGTCCAGAGGCAGCGGACATCCGATCCTGCTACCGGGTCCCGCGATAGCCATGAATGAACCGTGTTAGACACAGAGGTGACGCTTTCCCAGGATCGACAGGGAGACCGGACCCGGCCCCGGGTCCCGGTGGTTCTCTCTCTCTCTTCTCTCTCTCTCTCTCTCTCTCTCTCTCTCTCTCTCTCTCTCTCTCTCTCTCTCTCTCTCTCTCTCTCGGCGCTTGTGTCTCGTTCTCTTCTCTCTCGTTTTTAAATAATGCTTGACGATTCACCTGTCTCCCGATGCTGTGCTGTGGAATGTGATGGTCGTTGTCTTCATATAGAGTCACGCAGTTTCTCTCTCTCTGCAGGTCTTTGTAACCTTCATCCTCTCTCCCGTGTGAGTCACTGTTCAGGCGTGCGCACACACACACACACACACACTGCTCAAAGCCGTATGCCAACCAACGTGGTTTCAATCCGGTCGGATATTGAAAACTATGAAATCACGTTAGGATCAACTAGTTCCCATAGACTCCGGGAGTTTAAAAAACAACAAAAAAAATAGCTCCCTCGTGGGTTTTGAGCCCCGTCATGTTCTCAGCCACCTGGGGGGGGGAGGGGGCGTCTTGCCTCCGCCCACCGTTTCCCTGGGCCCCGCGTCCTATGGCGGGATTCCACCCACCCCATTCCTGTCTTGTAGCCACTCACTGTGTGCATCAAGAGTGTGTTTTGAATACCTGCCTCCGGACTAGGGACGGTGAGGAGGACCCATGTCGATGCTGTCCCTGGCAGGGAAGGGAGAGCCAGCGGACGAGCCGTCGGAGGAGTCTAGCCAGCTTGTAGCCAGCCACGCTCGGGGCCAGCATGTCGGGATCCAGCGTGTAGCAAATGCAGTAAAAATTTGGTCGGTTTCTGTGTGACCTGTGGTTCCTGTCGTTCTTTCTGTTCCCTGGCTTTTGTTTCTTTAAGAATTGCCCCCGGGGAGACCCGTGCCAAAGGCCACCACCAGGTCCGGACACCCAGCTCAGCCCGGGCACCCAGCTCAGCCCAGGCACCCAGCTCAGCCCGGGCACCCTGCTCAGCCCGGGCACCCAGCTCGGCCCGGGCACCCAGCTCGGCCCGGGCACCCAGCTCGGCCCGGGCACCCTGCTCGGCCCGGGCACCCTGCTCAGCCCGGGCACCCAGCTCAGCCCGGGCACCCTGCTCGGCCGGGCACCTGAGGACACCCTGGTCGCCGGCCGCATGTCTCTGCGAAACTGCAGAACACCTCGGGCGCCCGGCCGCTCCCATCACCTCATTGTTCAGGCTTTCTTCGTATATTGATCGGCAGGCAGGCCTTGTGAAATGGGAAAACACTCTCCGATCTAACTGTGCGGCCCAACGTGACAATGGGAATACGATTATGTAAGATTTCACAAGCAGAACCACCGCGGATCCTGATCCGGCTGACTCACTCTGCGACAGGAGGATAAACAAACAGTAACATAAGGAAATCACTCGGGTTGTTTTTAATGATTCCCAGGTGGGGAAGTCCGCCCGCCCGTCCGGGGAGGGCTGGGGCCCGTGGAGGAAATAGGTTGGGTTACATAAAGATGGGGTCTTGTGGGGGGGAAAATCACAGCACGTTTATAAAGTTGGGGTTCGCCAAGGTAAGCCAGGTGGAGCAGGAAGTCCTGCTGCCTTGCACAGGGCGCAGGGGGCCCTCACTCATTCCCGTGGGGGACAGGCCCTTCTGCCGGGCCCTCAGGGTTGGGGGTGGGTGGGTGGGTGGGGGGAGAGGGCAGGCCTGTAGACAGCACATTTCAGTGGGCTCACTAAAGGGGACCTTCTGTTTACCAAAGGCCATAAACACAGACCACCTCCCGCAGCCTGCAGGCCAAACACCAACATGGCCCGAACAGGGTTGTGGGAGAGCATGAGGCCAGTAAGCTCTCGCAACCCCAGTATCCGAAGCATTTAACTTTTTTTTTTTTAGATTTAAAAAAATATATATATTTTATTGATTTTTTTTACAGAGAGGAAGAGGGAGGGATAGAGAGTTAGAAATATCAATGAGAGAGAATCATCGATCAGCTGCCTCTTGCACAGCCCCCACTGGGGATGTGCCCTCAACCAAGGTACATGCCCTTGACCGGAATCGAACCCGGAACCTTTCAGTCCCCAAGCTGACGCTCTATCCACTGAGCCAAACTGGTTTCAGCCGAAGTATTTAATTCTTTAGCTATGTGACACGAGTCGTTCCTAGAGCTGATGGATCCCTGAACACGGGTGGATGGGGAGTGGGGGGTGAGGGGCAGGGAATGTCAATTTGCAAAGGATCTCTGAAAGCTGAGAGGGCCGGAGACCAGGAGACCAGGACTCAGGCTTTATTGGAGGAGAAGACCCTGCGGGCTGCCTTCCAGAGGAGGAAGAGCACACGTGCCGGAGTGAACACACCTTTTGAGAGGAGGAAAAGGAAGGGACTCAGTACATGCTGATTGGTGGTTTCATGTAAGGCACGTGATTAGGGATTTAGGAATTGGGGGCTTAGGGTATTTGGCAGGTGCTGATGGGTGGTTCGATGTGCAGTCCAAATAAGGTGCCTGCTCAGGTGCTCAGGAACGTCCGTGCTGCAGGTACAGGTTATGTCATACACCATCCATCCATTGGGGGAAGAGAGGATCTATCGATCTCCAGTTTAGGGGCAGGGTATTTATTCCAGATTCCATCCCATCTATTTGAGGAGCCCAGGAAGGCCTTCCCAGAGGTCCGGGAACAGCAGCCCTTCCGGAGCCCCCGGCCTCTGCGGGTGGAATTAGCAATGCAAATGACGGGTGGCCCAGGTCCCTCGCAGGGACCTGCTGGGATGCTGTTCCGAAGCCCATGTCATATATCACTCGAGGGGAAACCATTAAGTAGATTTATTGAAAGAGCGTTTCTTCGGCACAGGGAGATCTTTCTGATGAAAGATGGGCCTCATTATTCTTTACGGGACACAGATTGACTTATCTCCTTTTTATCAATTACAGTGTCTGCTTTCAGCGTTCCTCCATCAGCACTGGGCTCTGTAGTCCCTTCCCGGTGCTGTGGCCAATGTGTCTGAAGAGAAAGGTTTGTGTTTTACGTTTTAATTGGAAATATAATATTGCACTTTGGAACCCTGACCCTCCCTTTCCAGGACAACGTGCCAAAAACAGGGAGACACACCGCCAGGCAGGCTGTGACAAGGACAGCCCCTCCCCTTTCCTGGGGTGACCTCGGAGTTGTCCTGGTCCTTCTCCCCAGCACACATTCTCAGCAGTACGTGTGTGTGTGTGTGTGTGTGTGTGTGTGTGTGTGTGTGTGCGTGTGTGGCGGGGTGGGGAGGGGAGGTTTGACAGCTTCGACCAATTTCCTGAACCATAAAATAAACATAGATTAACAAGAAACTTAAATTAGTATACAGAGGTTTTCAAGACCTTGGAAATGTGGTCCAGACCAATTGATGTGTCTTTAAATTTTACTGCAGCGGAGTCATCACTGCACCTGCCCACTGTATGTCCTGTGCCTTTTAATTTCCAAAAGCCTCTTGTTATCATGTGGCCACGAATGGTAAAAAGCACACACGGAACTGAGCAGTCCCTAATGGCAAAACCATATGTGAATTTGTCCCTGAGCTCCCCTAACGGTTAGGAGTCGGCAAACTGCGACTCGCAAGCCACATGCGGCTCTTTGGCCCCTTGAGTGTGGCTCTTCCACAAAATACCATGGCCTGGGCCAGTCTATTTTGAAGACGTGGCGTTAGAAGAAGCTTAAGTTTAAAAAATGTGGCTCTCAAAAGAAATTTCAGTCGTTGTACTGTTGATATTTGGCTCTGTTGACTAACGAGTTTGCCGACCACTGCCCTAACCCACCCCATCATGATGTAGGTGCCTGATCCATGTATAAATGATACATTGACTAAATGGACAAGCGAACGATCTATCAAAGGGATAGATCAACCTGCGGAAGAAATAAATCCTGAAGTCTCACTGCTTACATGACACGGAGATAGCCGCTCATAATAATATATGGCATTACTGTTGTACCTTTAACCCCAGGGAGACTGCAGCATTTCTTAATCAAAAACATGGCAAGCCCCCAAAAAACCAATTTCAGAGGAACCGGGCCCCTGCAGGCCCACTCTCCCGCCCCCCATCTTCCCACTCCTGCACTTACGTCTCTTCCTAGGCAGCAGATTTGATGCCAATCCCCACCCCCACATACATTCCTGTCTTTCCACAACCCCAGACTCATATCCTGGTGAGGAGGGACGAGATCTGGTTCAAAGCAAAGACTTCCTTAGACCCGGTCAAACCCAAGTGCCCATTTTGGGCAGATGCCACCCCAGTTCCATCTCCCCCTGCCACGGCCCATTGAAAACACACCTCGCTGGGGAAGTCTTCCTCTTATGTCCTAACCTCTGAGCTAAAAGCGCTCCTGACTGCATCCCCAGCACTCTCCGGTGTATGCTGGGAATGCAGAACATAAACAAATGAAAGGGCTTCACCCTAAAGGACCCACATTCTTGCTAGAGGGGAAGACAGACAAGGAAATGGGCGTGGAGAACAGGGCGTTGTGAGCTTGTTCACCTGCTGGTCTCTCTCTCGCTACTATTTGTGCCCTCCCTCCTCTTACAGTGCTTGGGACGCCATTCTGTCTTCCGGTGACACTGTCAAGAAGCCACCATCTACTTCCACACTAGTATATAGTATATCTTATCTTACCTCCACGCACCCCAGATGTCCACTGACCAACCCCCCACGCCCAGCCACACTATGCAAAGGCGAAGCACTTTAAGCTCGCCTACACTCAGGAGTCAGTTCAAGTGGATTGATTCCTCATTGTATCTCCTAGGAGCAGTGCCCACCTTAAAATGCTAGGTACTCAATAAATGCTTGATGAATAGATGAGTGACTCTAAAACCTCTTCGATGATGAGTTTGCCAGTCTAACTGGGTTAGTTACTGTTGTGCCTTTCCAGGCGGCTGTATATTATACCTGGGCTCTGGGAGACACCGTGGTAGTCAGTGGTGACTTGGACGCGTGGACAGAGAAGTCTGGCCGATTGGATGGAGCCATCCGTCTGGTTCTACTTCTGTTCACGTGTAGCCTGGCTGAAGACATTTAACATCTTCAAATTTCAGCTTTTCACCCCAAAAAAGTAAGGATAAGAATGTATAGCTCAGTTGGTTACAGTGTCATCCTGTATAACCAAAGGTCTCATATTTGAATCCCAGTTGGGACACATGTCCAGATTTTGGGTTCAATTCTCCAGTCAGGGTGCATAGACAAAGAAAATCTGATTCAGCCTGGCAGCATGGCTCAGTGGTTGAGCATCGACCTATGAACCAGAAGGTCAAAGGGCACATGCCTAGGTTGGGGGCTGGGTCCCCAGTTAGGAGCCTGCAGGAGGCAGCCAATCAATGATTTTCTTATCATTGATGTTTCTCTCTTTGTCCCTTTTCTTCTTCTCCTCCTCCTCTCCTCTTCCTTCTTCTCTTTCTCTCTTCACTTTCCCCTCTCTCTAAAAATCAATGAATATGTCTCCTTGGATGAGATTAGAAAATAAAAGAGTATGCAGAAGTATATGGTTAGTTTTCAAAGTGTATAAGTTGTGAAAGTAAGTACAATATTTTAACCTAAGTTAGTGGGTATTAAGGAAAGAGTTATGGTTTGGGATTCAAAGTCCAGAGACCTGGTTCAGACATCGATGGGATCTTAGCAGCAGATTTAGCCCTCCTGGCCTCAGTTTCCACGTCTATAAAATGGCCCCTGAGAGCATTACAGCTCCAAATTTGTGGTATTACCATTAATACCTCTATTATTACTTGTATGCCTGTATTCAAATTTTGTCTCTAGTATGCAAATTTTTTAAATACCTACAAGGAAAAATACCACCTGTATCAATTAAGATTCTTTTG